TCAAGGGAACAGGCCAGGGGATGCAGGATGGAGGACATTGTGTGGGTTGCTTGGACTTCACCTTCTGCTCAGTGTGAGGGAAGCTGGTGCAGAGGTGCCAGCTTAATGCACATGGATTGTATGGGGCTCTACTGGGAGTTGACAGCTGGTGGAGGTGGTGCTGGGAGGCCAGTCAGGCTGTCATTGAGTGCTACTGGTGGCTTGGACCAGGTGGTGAAGGTGGCAGCCTCTGGAAGTGTTTTGAATTGAAGCCAGTGGGGTTCTAATTGAGTGGATGTGGGGTCAAGAAGGGGAGAAGTTTAGCCCAGGCAGCTGGAAGGTGGAATTGCACTGGGATGGCAGACCTGGCCCAGCAGATGTTGGAAGGGCTGGGGAGGACTATCACCATACATTAGGGGAGCTTGAGATGCCTGGCCAACATCCATAGGAGTGCTTATGTGGGGCTCCGAGTGTCCAACCAGAAGCCAAAATCTGGACGCTCCTGGAATCTGTGGATAGAGGATATGACCTACGAGTGAGTATGTTGACTCTGAGCACCTGCTGTATATCAAATTCTGGCACAGGGGTATGGGGAGAAGGGAGAGGGGGGGTTTACCTGGTGATTCCTGGGGCCCCTGGGTTTATTGGTGTCTGAGAAGCAGATCCTGCCTTGGCAAAGCAATTAGAAACCCTTAAGATGGAATGTATTGCAGTGTTTAAGGTTTAAGGCCCAGGAGGGTGAGGCTGTGAGGACTAGGGTGCTCAGGACAGGCTTAGGGGGACAAGCTAAAGGTTCCTGGGCCAGGTGGAGAGAAAAGGCAATCCAGGCAGAAGGAACAGAGTAGAGGAATGCACAGAAGCTGGCATGAGCAGGGAGGGGTGGGTTGACGGTGGTAAAAGAGGCTAGGGTCAGAGGAAGAGCATGGGTATTGGCATTCACTTCCCAGCTCGGAACCCTGTGACCCTGGGCAGTGACTTAAAACCTTAGTGAGCCTCATCTACAAAACAGGATATCCACATCACTCACAGAGATGTCCCATGTCAGATACAGGGATGTTAGGAGAGTGTTAGGATCTAGCCATCATATCAGATGTCGCATAGTCAGTGTGGCCATGGTGTGTAGTAGGCCCTGGATGCCCCCATTGTAGAGCTAGCCTAAGGAGGCTCCCTAGCAAAGAATAGAACTTCTAGACAGCCACATTAGCAGTGCCAGGCCTGCAGACCAGAGGTGTGAGAGGCTGAAGTTCCCAGAGCCCTGGCCTCCTCTCCTGGTCCTCTTCTATTTCAGGGCTCAGTCTCAATGGAGGAGGAAGGCTTGTCCAGCGCCGCCACAGCTAATGACAGCCTTGCCTGCCAGGCCATTTAAAAACAGCTGCACTATTTTTATGCTGCCTACTTACTCCCCAGGCTGGGATGGTTTTAAGGAACCTGGGGCCTTTGTAGGCAGATGGGTCATCATCTCAAATCACAGCCCTGCAAGGGCAGGATGTATGCATGGAACATACATGGGGGGCGTTAGGCATCGTCTTTACACAGTGCTCTGAATTTAGAGATAATTCTACCTTTGCCAGTGGGACTTGGGAGAAATCATTCCACTCTCCACCCGAACGATCCTCAGACCAAGTCCTTGCTGGTGTCTCGCCGGAGTGGGCCACGGCTAGGACTGTGCTGGTGCGGCCAGGTGAGAGCCGAGGCTCTACATGCCTACAGGACATTTCTTCTGAATTCTTCAATCGAAAGTAGTTTGAAGGACTTTTCACAGTGGGGTGTGGGTGATTTCTTCTCCCCCTGTGTAAAAAAAAAAAATGTTTTAAATAGACTCCAGCCTCCAGTGGAGATTGGAAGAGAAAAGTAGCCCTGGGGAGGCGGGGTGAGAGGGAGAGGGTATCCACAGTGTGGCACCAACTATTTATCCTGGGAGACAGGCAGGTCCCATTGTGTTGGCCACAGTTTACATTTAGGTAAAATCTTTTTCTTTTTCTCTGTCTACTGTCTAATTTCTAAGTAAAATGGGTATTTTTGGAATACATGCTTAGTTAACCCTTATAACAATAGGCATCCAGTGTGGCCTCCCCGCCCCCAACTTCTCTCCTGCAAGCAACCTCCTGGCCATCCCCGACCTCAGAGCCAGCTCTAGCCCTTGTCTGCAAGGCTGTCTTTATTTGACTTGGCTCCTATACTCCCCGTCTTGGCCCTTCTCTCCCTTCCCCTCCCCCCAGCTTGTCTACCCTAGGTGTGGGGGGATACCCTGGGGCCAGACTTTTTTTTTTTTTTTTTTTGTGACAGTACTGGAGTTTGAACTCAGGGCCTTATGCTTGTTAGGCAGGTGCTCTACCACTTGAGCCACTCTGCCAGCCCTTTTTTGTGTTGGTATTTTTGAGATAGGGTTTTGGAAACTATTCTCCTGGGCTGTCTTAGAACCATGATCTTCCTGATCTCTGCCTCCTGAGTAGCTAGGATTATAGCCACCAGCACCCGGCAGACTGCACTCTTGACTCCTCCTGCCTCCTGGGTGCTCTGTCCCTCTGGTGCTCTGTCCCTCTCAGAGCACTTATTGCCACCTCTCCTTCGTCACCTACCTCACATGTCACTTCCCTCTGCTGCCCTTCCTCCATCCTTACCACTGCTTACTCTAGCTGCTCAGAGTGCGGGACCTGGGTGTAACACTTCTTTGTGTCCTCAGCCCTGATGTTAGCATGGCTCTTCATGGGTACTAGGTGCCTCCTTACCCCTCGCTTTACTGAAAAATCCCACCCCTGGAAACTTAAAGAGGTTGAGAATTGAATAGCAAGACCAGGACCCAGCCCATAGGTCTCAGTTGTTGCCTAGGGAGTCAGAGCACTGATCCTGGTCCCCAAAGCCTTCCTGGGACTCTCTCCATCCCTCCTGCTTCCCTCCTCAGGGCCTCTGGCTTTGCCAGTTACCTTCCATTCATGTGACTCCCGGAACTTTGCTTTAAAGGCAGAAGTGGGGGTTGGGGTCCCCTGGCCCTACACAGACCCACTCTAGCTCTGATTCTTAGGGCCATGTCACATCTGGATTGGGGTCCACCCCAGAGTTCCCCACAGCAGCTGAGGAGGAGATGCATGCGGACTGACATTGTGTGCCTTCATGACCAGCTGTGGGCCTGCTGTTGGGAGACTGGCTCACTGTTCCCTCTCACGGTGTTCCTGGCACCCAAGGGACAACACCATGCCATGACCTTTCTGTTGTAGAGAGAGTTGCCATGGGCCTGGGTACAGGCATGGGTGTGTGGTAAGGACAGTGAGGTATGGCCACCTCCTACCAGTTGTCCTCTCCCCCCATGGAGTGTGGCAGGGACTGTGTGACTGGCACATCTGTGGGAGTTAGAGGGACAAAGTCAGTGGCAGAGTACTCTACAGAGGGACCCCTGGCTGTATATGTCCTGGGCTTTTGTCCACCTGACCCTCACACTGAGGAGAACCTTGAAAGAATCTCTTTAAAGTCCTTTTCCTTCTGACATGAATCTCTAGTGAGTCTTCTCCTACCCCTAATCCTTCAGGGGCTCCCCAGTGCTGAAGTCATGGTGCTCAACCCTAGTCAGCAGCCCTTAATGAATCCACTGCCCAGGCCCTGCCATCTGGGACTCTCATTTGACTGGTCTCGGGTGGGGCCCAGGCACATGCATTTTAAGACTCCTTGTGGTTTTCATGGACTCAAGGTCATGAACACAGCTGGAGGATTAGCTTGCTTTTTTTTTTTTTTTTGGCGACCATGGTGTTTGAACTCAGGGTCTCACGCTTGCTAGGCAGGTACTTTTACCACCTGAGCCACTCCACCAGCCATTTTTTGTGATGGGTTTTTTCAAGATAGAGTCTCAAAAAGTGTTTGCCCAGGGCTGGCTTTGAACCACAATCCTCCTGATCTCTGCCTCCGGAATGGCCAGGATTACAGGTGTGAGCCACTAGCGCCCTGCAGGATTAGCTTCCTAGGTGGCACTGGTGGCTTCCATAAGTGGGTCCTCCTTCCAGCCAGGCCAGCTGCTCTCAGCCCCCACACTCTGGCCCCATCATCATCTCTGTGCTGGCCCTATCTAGTGCTGGTTCTCACTGTCCAGGTCAACAAGGTCTTCACAGCCCACCTGCACTGCCATGATCTCTAGGAAGCTTATTTTCAATTAGCTTTGCTTTCCCTCTGTCTCCAACATGTAACCTGATGCCATTTGCAGAGAAGGTCTGGCCTTACTTGGTAGAAAGATTGATGTCCCACTACTCCATCCTCATCGCTTCCCCCCCATGCATTTGGGTTCTCCCCTTCCCACGTGTTGCATGTCTTGCTGCTCCTTGGCTCTAATGGCCTTTCTCATCCTATTTTCTGTCCCAGCCTTGGAGAGGGTAAGGGTGGAGGTAGGAGGGAGTATTCCCATCTCTGTCAACTCTGATCCTAGGCCGTTTGAGAAACAGGCAAGGAAATTAGGTGGAGATGGCGGGGAGTTAGAGGCCAAGATGGGGTTTCTCTCCTCTCCAGTCAAAGAGGGGCGACAACCCAATGAGCCCAGGCTGAGGGAGGAGGTCGAAGCTGTCTCCACGAGTCAGAACCCTGCTGCCACCAGCCCCTTGCCAGGCCATGATCAAGAGTCCTCATAGCTCTCCTGAGGGAAGCCAGGGGGCTGGGAGAGGGGAGCTGAAGTCTTTCCTATAATCCTTAGAGGATGGGAGGAGATGTACCCTCCTCGGTAGAAGTTGGCTCGGTGTCTGGTCCTGCCACCTAGAGGGCCTCTTCATACCTCAGGTACTACAGAGCTTTCTTGTTGACAGTGTGCCTCAGTCACCCCTCAGAGAGAGCAGTGGTCACAGTTCCATAGTGAGGAAACAGAGACTCAGGGGGGGTGGGTGGCCCCAGGAACCAATATGCCCATTGGTCTTCCCTGATGCCTAATGGGGAGGTACCCTTCTTCCTGCCATCTGAATCACCATGCCGAGTGCTCAGGGCAGTGGGTGTGTGTTTGTGTTGAGGACAGTGAGTCCCCTGCACTGACACCACTGTGTCCTCTTCTCCAGGCAAAGGCTGCCAAGGAGGCGCGGGAGATGAGGAGGCTTCAGCTGCGGGGCCTGCAGTATCTGGAGCGCTATGTCTACCTGATCCTTTTTAACGCCTACCTCCGCCTGGAGAAGGCCCACGCATGGCAGAGGCCTTTCAGCGCCTGGATGCGGGAGGTGAGGGAGAGGTGGGAGATGGCGGGGAGCCTGGGGTGATGAGCTCACGGGTAGCCTGGGTTCTCCCACCTGGTCCCTTTGTGTTGTCTCTGGGGATCCAGGTGATGGCTCCCCTGGGGAGGGGAAGAGTTCCGTTCTACCAGATTGTCTCACAGGACTGTGACTGTGAGTCCTCAGCGTAATATCTGCACTTGGCAGGCAGCCAACAGCAGGTGACAGAGTGAGTGAATAAACGACTGGCGAGGAAGAAGAGTGTGGGGGTAGAGGGAGCTGTCTGCTGGGCAAGACCCTGCTGTCTGTGTCCCCATGGCCAATGTTACCTGGACACCAGCTCTGGGCACTTCATTCAACCTCCATCTGTGCCCTTTCATGGCTAATGGCAAGGCTGCATGTCCCCACTCCTGCCTCCTTGACCTTGGACCACGTGGTCATCCTGCTTAACTTGTCCTCAACCCTATGTGGAATAGTGTTAATAGTTTTGGTTTCAGCTAAGAAAGTGGTGGGGATTCAATGAGATGCACGTAGTGTCATCTTCCAGACATGCCTTGAACAGTATGACTGTCACCCCTCCCCCCCAATTCACAGAGGAGGGGACCGAGTGGAGAGTTTAAGAATTCACTTAAGGCCATAATTAGAGCTGGTTGGTTGGTTCCAAAGCCCACCTCATTCTGACCTAAGATGCCACTCTCACTTTTGGACCCCTTGATTCATCTCTGCTTGACCTCCTGCCTCCTGCCTGGGCACCTGTAGATCAGGAGAGAGACCTCTGTCCTCCTCAGCAAAGTGGCCTGGCCTATAATTACCCTCAACCAGGAAGCTGGCCCTCCTGACCTCTCCAGCAGATCATGGCAGTTCTAATCTGAGTTCAGGGCTGGAATTAGCTCCCTTGGGGCAGGTGGGTGGAGAACTGGAGCAGGGACCCAGCTAGAGTGGGTGTAGGATGGGGTGGGGCAGAGGCAGGAGACAGGACTGAGGGCTGCTGAGGATGAGCCTGGGTGTGGTCCTTGGGATGTCAAGGTGAGGAAGTATCACGTATGTGATGTGGCATTGAGTCAGGAGACCTGATGGGTCATGTTAAGGCCATGTCAGGCCTGAGCAGGCCTGTACTTAGCATCCTTTTTGAGCCACTGGGTGGGTTGCAGGTGGGAACAACAAGGACATTGCCTGTTTTGGCTCTGCTTAGAGAGTAGAAATCAGGGGACCAGGACCTGGGAGAAACCTGATCCCCTCCACAGCTAAATCTGGTGTTTGATGTTAGGGGGACTTCAAGGAAGGAGAGCTACAGGACTGTGGTTCCAGCCCCAGGGCCTCTCTCCTGGGATGTGTGTGTGTGTGTGTGTGTGTGTGTGTAGGTATAGGAAGCAGGATGAAGCCATCCCTTTACTCGAGGTGGAGGTACATTTTCCTTGTCTCGAGGTGGAGGTACATTTTCCTTGTCTTCCAGGATGGTGGGGTGTCAGAGTCTGAGGCCAGGGCCTGTGCTGCCCGGCAGCAGGGCTGTGCAGTGAGTGTTCTTAGAGAAGCCGCTCAGCTGCTTGGGGCTGAGCCCAGCTAAGGGGCTCAGGCTGAGGCATCCACACAGAGCTACCACGTCAGTGCTGCTGAGGGTGCCTGAGTGTGTCCAGTGCTCCTCCATGTAGAGTGCTGCCTGTCTTCTGAGTTCCCCTGAATGCAGTCCTACAAATAATAACTGTTACCCTGTTATAGGAAACTGGGGCCAGAGAGGTGGACAGATGGACATACAGACTTGTGCCAGCTGGCAGGAGGCAGCTCAGAGCCCAGAGAGGGAAAGGCAGTATGATGGAGGGGGCCAGGGTGATCTGATGACACCTTCTCTCCCCTGAAGCACTGCCCCACATCTCTGTCCTCCCCTAGGTAGCGTCGAAGGCTGGAGTCTACGAGATCCTCAACCAGCTGGGCTTTCCCGAGCTGGAGAGCCAGGAGGACCAACCCCTCTCCAGGCTACGCCACCGCTGGCAGGAGCAGAGCCCCGAGCCCTCTGCTTCTGGGGATTTCCTATAGGGTTCCCTCCTGTCCCCTGCAAGGCAGGCCAGAGCCGGAGGTTCTCATCAGTGGAAAAGGTTCCAGCTTCCTGGTGGGGCTGGAAGCCTTTTTGGAAAAAGCTTTTTATAGGATATGCAGTCATTCCTTGTAAACCCAGAGGCGCGTGACGGCCCTCCATTGAAGCTGGTGTGTACACCTTGCAGATCTTGTGGCGTTTGCCTCCTAGAGGCTCACACCCCAAACTGCCAAACAGCCTGCTGCCACTTCCGGCTCTTCTTTCCCTCTGACCACCCTGCAATGGAGCAACCCTTTCCCTGTCACTTTTGTTCCTTTTCTTCCTCTGGCTGCTTGGCCCTTGCCTCTCCCCTTTTGCTGTCTGAGCACTGAGGTGGGTGAGTGGACAATGCTTTGGGTTGATTTAGTCCTTTAAAGGCAGATTTGCCCAGTGTTCTCTGTCTTGTGCCTGTCTCTAGCTTGGGAAACCCTGAACACCACCTGAATAGCCAGGCTGGCTGAGGCTTGGCTTCTCCTCCTTTCCCTTCTCCCCTCCCCTGTGCTGACAGGAGGTGGAGGTTTCCAAAAAGCTGGAAATACCAGGGAGTCCCTCTCAGTAGAAGGAAAGAGCTTCAGAAGGCAGATGCAGCACAGTGGAAGAGACTTGCTCGATTTGCCAGGAGCCTGAGCAAGAGGTGCTGAGGAAGTCAAAGCTGGGAGCGGCAGCCCCTCCACATCTCTCTACCACGACAGCCCAGGATGACCCAAGCCCCAACTGTCACAGGAGGAGCCCAAGGATGCTGGGTCAAGGGTGGTTGCTGGGTGACCTTTGTGAATGATGGAGTGTAAGACTGGTCAAAAATGATGTGTGTGCGCCCCTGGATTCCAGGCCATCCTTGCAAGGATTACTAAGCTGCCTTCCTGAAGAACCAGAAGGGACAGACCATGCTGATCTAGGGCTGAGACCCTAGATCATTAGTGGGATGACTGTGTGGAAGAGGCACCAAGAGGGCTGTGTGGGTTGAATCTTGCAGCTCTCTGTCTGGAGCTGGTATTTGCTGGAACCCAGGGGCTGAACACAGAGGATCCTGTCTACCTGCCTGTCTCCTTGGGGACAGGGGAACCTCTCCAGGTGGCTCATGCCCTTTTGTAGAAAGATAGATGTGTCATTTGTTGGCCATGATCTTTAAAAATGGGTTAAGAGGCCGAAGTTGTTCACATCTACCCTGTATTAGAAAATATTGACCCTCTTAGCTGAATTATTTTGCAAAACTACTGTATGTCTGGTCACTACCTTTTCAGGTTTGTTTTGTTATATTTGCATGTACTCAGAAGTGTTCATTTCTTTGCAGACAAGGTCTAGCTAAAGAGTCAGAGATCAGGGCTGAACTGGAAGGGATCCTTTGCTTCTTGTAGTTGGCTCTGACATTCAGCTGTGCTGGGACCACTGACCAGTCTTGCTGTCTCTCTGCCTCAGTTTCCTCATCTGTAAAATGGGAGAATAATACTTGCCTTCCTACCTCACAGGGGTGTTGTGAGGAATCATTTGTGATTTTTTTTGTACAGAACTTTTGAGCATTAAAAACAGCTTAACTGTGAAATGTGTCTGGCTGCTGATATCTAGTGTGAGGTAGATGGGGTAGAACTGGCCCAGGCAGAATCCCTGCCCCTTCAGAGTATGGGCTGGTGTACAAAGTGACTGGAGAGAGAGCACCTGCCCTTAGCATTTCTGAGTCTTAGAGAAAGTGAGTTTTTGCAGACATCCCTATTCCTTTCTTCATCTCCCCAGTCACGCCTTTCCTTCTTACACTGGATACCCAGTGCTGGATAAAGTAACACAGGAAGCTAATTCTCACTTAAGTGTGAAGAACTGCTGTATCTAAGCAAAATGCAGTTTAGGGCATAAGCAGAAAGTTGGACCTCAGCCTCTCCTTCCTCCTTCAAGACCAGTGGCCCAGCTCTGATGGAGAGTGGAGTGTGAGGGGGTCATAGGGAAGGTGAGAGCACCCTGGCCCAGGCCTCTCTAGGAGCTCCTGCAGGCTTAGGGCGACTAGGCTCTGAGTGGCAGTTCTCAGGCCAGCCAGGGTGGTCTTGGCTATTGGGGATGATGCACAGTAGGGAAGTGGAGTGCATGCCACATGATCTTTGATCATTTGCACTTACACCCTTACACAGAGTCGCTGGATCACACTGTCATTCTATTCTCAACTGTCTGAGGCACCTCCATACTGTGTTCCACCGTGGCTGGCTAATTCACATTCCCTCCAACAGTGTGCAAAGCTTACCCTTTTCCACACCCTGCTAGCACTTGCTGTCTCTCAGGTTTTTAAATAGTAGTCATCCTTCCAGGTGTGTGGGGACATCTGTGGTTTTACTTTGTGTCTCCCTGGCCATCAGCGATGCTTAACACTTTTCCTTATATCTGTTGGCCATTTGTACATCTTCTTTTAAAAAATGGCCTTTCAGGTCCTCTGCCCCAGTTAAGCAGACTTCAGATTAGGGATGCTCAACCTCTATTTTAATTGGTTTCCCCTCACAAAAAGCTGTCCACCTGTAACTCACGCCAGTAAGGCAGGGTTGTACTCTAGCTGTGGAAATTCAACCCATCTCTTTACTCCTCTGTTCTCATTCCCTCTCCCTGCCCTTTGGTTTTAAATGGTACTGTGGTGGAATAATATGACTAAAACAAGGAGCCATTGTGACCAGAGCAGCTGGTAGTGCTGGGTGGGCTGAACTTCCACCCCACCTGCTCATGAGCTACCTACCACTGTGTGATACACACACCTTTCCGCTCAGTAGCAAGAGCAGTGATTCACCCAGGGCAGTGATTCAGAAGAGCTCAGGCAAGGCACCTTGCTCTCTGGGTCTTAATGAAAAATGGGATCCGGATACTCACTGTGCAGGGTCAGCATAGGGTGAGAGGTAATGTGTGTGAAAAGTGCCTGGTGTCCTCCTTACATCCAGCAGACACTGGAGTATGTGAGTCCAGCTGAAGAGTCACTGAATTAGCAGCATCACTCAGGAGTAAATGAGGACCAGAAGAAATGGGAGGGTGTGGGGGGGTGGGTGGGGGGCTGGGTGCTGCTGGCTCATGCCTGTGATCCTAGCTACTCAGGAGGCAGAGTTCAGGAGGATCACAGTTTGAAGCCAGCCAGGGCAAATAGTTCTGCGAGACCTTATCTTGAATAGGGCTGGTGGAGTGGCTCAAGGTGAAGGCCCTCAGTTCAAGCCCCAGTACCTGAAAAAAAAAAAAAGTGGGGGAGGGTCAGGGGCAAGAGGGTACCACTGGCTGTCAGGGATGGGGGAGGAATACACAGGAGGGGTGTGTCTGAAGCACCCCAGGCTTGTTCTAGATTGTGGGAAGGTTCAGCCCAAGTGTCCTTTGGCTGTACAGGAGCCAGTAAGAGGGACACAAAGGAAGTCCTTAGCATCTTGGGGGGAAGCCACACTGACCTCTAAACAGAAGTGCAGGGCGGGGGAGCCATGGAGGACAAACTTGCTGGTTTCCCAGGGAAGCCAGCAGTATGAGGTCCCTGGTGTGTCTACCTGGGAAAGGAAAACAGAGTTTCCTTGTTTGTTGCAGTAGGATTAGGGCAGACAACCAAGCTTCCAGAAAACCTACCTGCCCTTGCACTGCCGAGGACAGAGCTTGCTGGAGACACTGGCCCATCTCTCACTGACTTCCCTAGGTGACTTCCGTTCCTTAGCAGACCAATCCTAGCCCCTCTTGCCTTTGGGCAGTGAGGGAAACTGAGGAAGAGCTGTTCTCCCTCTGCGCTTTGGCTCAAAGGAAGGCAGGACCTGGCAGAGCTCAAGGGATGCTGGGTGCTTACTATGAGCCAGCTCTGCACTAAATTCCTTACCTATGCTATCTTAATGGGATTGTGACACTAAGACGAGGAAACCAGGTTTCCAAAGGTGATGGAGATTCTTCCAAAAAATAGCTCAGAAAAACAAGAAGTAAAGGAGAAGATAAAAATCACGAACAGTCCCACAGCCAGATAAAACCACGTTCAGCATCTTAGTCTCTTTCTTTCTTGTTTTATTCTGTTGCTGTGAACATAATATCCATGTCTTATAACACGAATACACGGATGCTTCCTAAAATTAGGGCCAGAAAGTTTTATGTGGCCTTCATTTACATATTCACAAAAGCATTCCACTCTGCCATCAGCCTCTGTAACGTTTTAATGCCTGTGCAGCATTTCATTGTGTGGGCACTCAGTAACCTTAAAATCCTATCGATTTATTCTAGGGCATTTAGGTTACTTTATGTTCATAGTCTTTTTTTTAGTGAAAGTGATAAAGTTTACTAGGAAAGGAATACACTTTCGATAGAAAGTGGGTCATCTGTAGAGAAAGAAGAGGAGTGACCATTTTCTTTTGAGATAAAATGTAGCTATCAAGAAATGCACAAATCTTAAGTGTTCCATTTAGGAGTTTTTGCAAATGCATACACCTATGTAACTCAACCCTCTGCCGGTATGTACAACCATCTGTATTAAAACTTATAAACGGAACTGGGGGTATGGCTCAGTGGTAGAGCACTTGCTTAGCATGCATGAGGCCCTGGGTTCAATCTCTGGCAGCACAAAATAAAAACCAAAACCAAACCAAACCAACCAACTGAACAAAAAGCCCTTCTAAACAGTACTTCACAGAACATCTTCAAACACTGATCTTTGCGCAGGTAATAATTAGACCCCTGGGGTTGCATGTTAGAGAAGAGGACTCCAACTAGCTTAGGCACAAAGGCAGGTTGTAAAAAGTATGACCAGTAGGCAGACACTGACGGCCATGCAGCAGGGACTGGGGAAAGTGGGGGCTGGGCGCTAAGAGACTGTCCAAGGAGCCCTGAAGCTACTTCTGTGTCCCACATCTGCTGCTCAGATGTCCTCTGAGGAGAACCCACTGCAGAGAGCAGTTGACCAGCCTCGAGAGGCAGCCCATGTAGGTTCAACACCTGGCTCCTACTCCACTCCAGCACTGCCCGCTCACTGGTTGCCCCAGCCAGGGCTGTTTCTGCCCCTCTGTCCTGCAGCCCGGCTGGGGCCTCCCTATTGCCTTGGGTGATTGCTGCCCAGAGCCACACTGCAGTGTGAGGCTCTGCCTACCCTCTCTCTTCAAAGGTGTCCTGCCTGTGTTTTGATCTGGAGACCTTCCTTCCACTTCCTGCTTCCTCCTCCTTCACGGGTATCCCCCAAATGAAACTCTTGCACATGTAAGGCCACCTTGGCCTCCACGGCTCTGAGGATCAGAGTGATATCCTTTCTCCATATCAGCCTTTGGGCCTCTCCTCTGTTCTTTCTGGCGAAGACCGGTCCTTCCCTGGCATTGTTTAGTGAAAATGGCCACCTTGGTTTCCACTTAGTATTCCGGTTCCATCCAGCCTTTCTCTCTTGCTGTGCCTACTCTGCCATCTCAAGCAAGGGGCTGCTAGTCCTGTGGACTGTGGCCTGAGGGAGGGCAATTGTTTCCCCCCTGTGGGACACAATCTCTCTCTCTCTCAATCGCTCTCTCTCACACACACCCTGCTGAGGAGGCTGTAGAATCTGAGTTGATATTGCAACCTGTGGATAAACTCTTGATTATCTTTAGATAAAGGAAATGCACATTTTGAAGGTGCACCACATATACCTTCTCTTCGTCCCTTACAGAAATGCCTTATGTGACCGTCTCAAATAGCAGTCATTGGCATGCCGTGTCCCAGCCTCTGCTGACACCGCCTGCCACATTTAAAGAAAAAATTCTTGCCAGTTTTGACTCAAAATGGAATGTTATACTCTTTTAACTTTATGTCTGCATAACAAATATTGTAGTGAGGTTGAACTTATTTTCATGTTTATTGGCCATTTGTATTTTCTCTTTTAAGAATTGCTGACTTTTTTTCCTTTTGGGTGTTTGTCTTTTCCTTTTTAACTTGTTATGATGGTAACACTTTATCCTTTATGTTACATATACTTTTAGCTTTAAAATATCTTCAGATCCACCTGCTCCCGTGGAGCCCACCCTCTTCATTACTGTGCTACCTTAGGGCTGACCTAGTCTAGGTCAGTGACCTTGGCCTATTTCATTGTGTTTTTTTATTAGGCTACTTATTCTGCCTCGCATGCTATTTGGCTTTGTTTACAATCATCACCTTGTTCAACCCTCCAACAAGACCACCAGGTCACTATCAGGATTCACTTTTTTTTTGCAGTACTGGAGTTTGAATTCAGGGCCTACACCTTGAGCCATTCCACCAACCTTTTTGTGTGATTTTTTTTTTTTTTTGAGATAGGGTCTCTCAAATTATTTGCCAAGTCTGGCTTTGAACTGCAATCCTCCTGATCTCTGCCTCCTAAGTAGCTAGGATTACAGGCGTGAGCCCCCTGCACCTGGTGGGATTCTCATTTTATAGATAGTGATACTGAGATCTGCAGAATGTCTGGTTCCAAGCCCTTGCTTATGTTGGAGGTGCTTTTTGAGCCAGTTCTGGGTGTGTAATCCTCACTGGAGTAAGAAAGTCAAGCACTCTGGAAGAATGGGCAAGCTAGGGTGACTTGGGGCAGGGACTAGGGAAAACATGATGACTTTGAAAGCCTCCCTGAAGGCCTGTGGTTCTCTGACACACTGATGTTCAAACCCCAGTGTGCTGTCACTGCTCGCAGTGCTTGCTTCTGTGTGAGTCACACTGATGGAGCACTGTGACAGGCGCCTTTGAAGTTTCTCTTCACACCTTCTCTCAGTTGACTCTTTCCTCCTCCCACATCCCACACAACAAATCTGAGGGAGAGCGTGTATCGTGTGTCGTTGTCAGAAAATGATCGCCTGGTTCCTTTGAGCTGCCTGGGGCAGGCTTTTGGGCAGAGTTAAACACTAGTAGTTCATCAAACATCATTTCTCCT